TTGACCTACGAAAATGAACAAAAACAGAATTTATAACCAATAATGCACTTTTAGCTCATTTTCATTCCAACCAAGGTAAAACCTAAGAAAACACAAAAAGGAAGTAAAAAGCTATAAAATGTCAAGAACTAACTGAAAATAATGGGTGAATAACATAAAAAATCATGTGCAAAAATGAACCGAACACAACTCTTACAAGAATTACATGTCTGTTTGCCTTGACCTCCTTTGCTTTGGTGTGACAACACAAGCTCTATCGCTCTTGCTTCTAATCCGATCTTTCATGCACACACCAAACACATTGCCGTTGATTATCATTATGTTCGTGAACTTGTCCTCCCTGACTCATTGAATGTTCGTTATGTCTTCACCCATACTCAGCTGACTGACATTTTTACCGAGGGTCTCTTGCTTCCTCAGTTCACCTTTCTCAAATCCAAGCTGTTGAGCTCTTCGCACATCAGCTTGCAGGGGGATAATAGAGATGGCACCGAATCTGCACAAAATCAGCAACTCCAAACTCGTGTTTTAGTTTCCCTTTATTGTGACCCATCCCTATTAAAAAATGAGTTATAAATACAACAAAACTACACTGCCACCTAACACAGGGATTACAGCTTCACTTCGTTTCCAATTATTTGGAGCAATTCCTTTGCTGGCATCACATGGAATTATAGAAAGTCAGTAATATTTGTAACAATATGCTGCCCCAGTAATGAACTCAGGATGGCCTTCATATGCTGCCCCAGTAATGAACTCACGAAGGCCGTTATATTTTAAAGGTATCGCCGAACGGCTATACTCGAAAATAGAACATTTTAAAAGTATAGCCGGCCGGCTATAATCCAAAATAGAAGATCTAAACTGTAGCGCGGCTATACTCTATAAATATAACATTTTAAAAGTACACGTCTGCGCGGCTATACTCCATAATTAGAAATGCATATCCGAGCGGCTATACTCCATAATTGAATTTTTTTAAAAGTACATACGTGATGAATAGAATATTTTTAAAGTATAGCCACGCGGCCATACTCGAAAATAGAACAATTTAAAAGGGGCTATACTCTATTAGAAGATCTTAAACAAAAAAATACAGATCACGATTCAGCAAACCTAGGTAGCCACTAATGCAATTTTGGTTATTGAATATGGTGTACGCAGTGACGTTGGAGCTGATGCAAAAAACTAAACTTGAACGCAATCTTTGAGACACATTTCTTGTTTTGGGTTTGAAAATTCTAAATTAAGAAACAGCAACCTATAGACACTTTTTTTTCTTTTTCTTTTTTAAACGATAATCCAATAAGAAGAATTTGGCAGTTAAAGAAAAATAAACAAAAGTCTCATGGCTTGTTAGAAATATATTAGCTATAGCTAGGCTTTACGTGGATTCGAATTTGAATACATGAAATATTGTTACCAACTACATCATTTGGTGAACAGATTTGATGTTCTGAACAATCCTATGTGTACTAGTAAAGTACTTTGTCTTTAATCTGGAAGTACCCGAAAGCACAATTTAATGTTTTTCACATATTATATCGTAGGAGGCAATTCAAGAAAGAAAGCCGTCATTATTGGAGTCGTAGTTGGTGGTGTAGGTCTTCTTATTCTCATTGTTGGATTTTTTTCCCTATTTTAAACTTTCAAGAAAGCCCGAGGCTGCTCGTAGAGGTATTCTTCTCCCACAACCACAGAATTCGAAGTTGCATTTCCTCTTGCATATATTCTATTATTCAATTAGCTCTTGCTCTAACCATGTTTATATATATGTAAATATTAAAAAATTGCTCGTACGTGTCTTCAATTGTTTAAATTTACTCATTTTTAGGTGATATATTGGGTGCAGCCGAGTTGCAAGGACCATTGAATTACAAATATAAAGATTTGAAGTCGGCAACAAAAAACTTCAGTGAAGAAAACAAATTTGGAGAAGGAGGATTCGGGGACGTCTACAGGGTAAATTATATGCTAAAGAGCTCTAAAATAACGTTCGTCTTCTTGGATGTAGTAGCAAAGGACCGGAATTGCTTCTCATATATGAATACATGGCAAACGACTACAGATTCATATTTGGTAATAATTTTAGGCTTTTCAGCTCAGCTACCTCTAAATGCATGCTTACATATACATTTTATTGTTTTATTTGTTCATTTAAAGATCTGTTTTTTTTTTCTTCTTCCATGGGAAATAGGTCCAAAAAGAGGCTCTCTCCCAACTGGAAACAACTAAATGACATAATCCTGGGTACAGCTAGGGGTCTTGCCTATTTACATGAGGAGTTTCATGTATGCATCATACATAGAGATATAAAAACCAGCAATATTCTTTTGGATGATAGTTTCCAGCCAAAAATTGCAGATTTTGGGCTGGCAAGGCTTCTACCAGATGATCAGACTCATCTTAGTACCAGATTTGCTGGAACATTGTAAGTTAAAGTACTTCAATTCCCACAGGCATCAACTCCTGCTGGAGATCAATATGATCATTACTCTTGTACGATATTTATACCGGTCTTTTGTTTTGACCTACTTATGCTTCTATCCACACACAAAAAGTGATATGAATCTACTATATACATGGCCGGTACACTAGGGCGACTCCACTTATTTGATCTTGTGTGACACTGACAGGGGATACACAGCACCTGAATGTGCAATTCATGGCCAATTGTCAGAAAAGGTGGATACATATAGTTATGGTGTGGTTGTCCTTGAAATCATAAGTGGCCAAAAGAGCAGTGAAATCAAATCTGATGCTATGGGTGAATTTCTACTTGAAAAGGTAACTTCCAAACTGTATATATAATTCTTCCCTGAGATTTCTATTCTGCTTAATTACTTTAGAATTGTAACATGTTTTATTTTATTTTATTTCTTTTTCACATTAATGATTAGGCATGGAAACTGTATGAGAATGGCAAGCACGTGGAGCTGGTGGATCCAAATCTGGATCCAAATGAATACAAACCAGAAGATGTAAAGAAGATTATAGAAATTGCTCTGATGTGCACTCAACCATCAGCTGCTCAAAGGCCTACAATGTCTGAAGTTATAGTTCTACTTAAAAGCACTAGCTCCTTGGAGAACAGGGCGCTCACTAGGCC